CGCCATATTGATTTACATAAGATGCTCATTGGTTTAGCGGCCTTATGTTATGCTTATGCTCTGTTATGCATTTCATGTGCGATAGCCCTAATACGTAAAGCATAAAGGGCATTTCACACAAACTTACATAGTCGCATAACCATATGGAATGGCCCTAATAGGCCTTCTACAATAAGCCATAAGTTATAAATCAGAAGTAAAGCGGGGAGCACAGACTCTTGCATAATGCATAACACATAAGGCATAAGAAAATGAACCAATCAAAGTGCTTTATTTCCTTCTTTTCCGTGAAATAAAGGACTCTGATTGGTTGATTTTCTTATACCTCATATTTTATGCGTTATATAAGAGTCTGTGCTCTCCGCTTAAGAAAATTGACGTTTAAAAAACGACTGAGATTCGTCCATTTCTAGCTTATGACTTATAATTTATGATCTATGGCTTTTGTTGAAAGTCTATAAGAAAATAAATCAATCAAAGTCCTTTATTTTCTTCTTTTCATGGAATGAAGGACTTTGATTAGTTTATTTTCTTATCTTACGTTTCTACCAAAGACATAGAGAATGGACTGCACGATCCGTGTGTCAAAATGGTCGATAGGGATGAGAGAGAGGGACCGTGCCATTTCTATCTCTTTCCAATCAATGGTGTAATGGGAGAGAAAATGAGAGGGAGATTGGCCGTCTCCCACGGTCCCTCTCTCTCATTTTTGTCGACCACATTTGATACACTACTTATAGCGTATTCGATTTACTGACTCGACCCGACTCCGAGTCAATAGTCTGTTCTGTATAGCTGCAAAAGAAGAGCTAAATTGTGTAAGAAATGCAGTTAAAAAGAACAGACTGTTGACTCAGAGTCGGGTCGAGTCAGTAATCGAATACGCTATTAGATGCGGATCGCGCAGTCCATTCTCTATTGCTGGATTCACATTGCATCCGATTTGCGTCGTACAACGCTCTGCAACCAATCAGAAAACAGGATTCCAATGGATTTTGCTTCGTATCATCGGAATCCTGTTTTACACTGAACGCGTCACGCGTCGCGTCATGAAAGAGAGAAAGAGATAAGATTATGTAAATACTAGAGATCCTCAAGTAAGAGATGCGCGAACTGAAATCGCTACGGGATTAGCTGATGACAATTTTGCAAGAATATGGCGCAACCGTATTTTATCCCCACTTACATAAGACAAAACGTGGCAAACATAAGTCTAACTAAGTGAACATATGATATTCACTTCGCTAAATTGATGTTTGTCGCATCTTTATTTTACATATTAAAAAGGGAATAGGAAAAACGTAATGTATAAAGCGCAATGTTCACACATGTATGATTTTATTTAGAGAAACTATATTTTGTTTCGATAAACTGTATTTTGATAAATTATTATTATCAACAATTTACATAGAATGCAAATAAACTCAAATAAAATAACATTAAAACATGCTTTAAATAAAAAATTATTTTGAAAAATAATCTTTTGATAAATGTAATAACACTTATTTACTTAATTCCTAAATGCATCGCCATAGATTTGCTACTATAATACTTATCAGTAGTTTCTTTATTGGAATTGCACATTTTTGCGCGAAACATGATAAATCTATCCATTAATTTTGATGATAAATTATGACAATCCTTTATCACAGAACAAGTAATTGTACTCATTTTAAAGCGAAAGAAACTTTTAATATCTAAATCAATATTCATAATGAATGGAAGATAATTACGCATGACATTTTCCATTTCCCGAAAATATTGAAATACACTTTCGTAAACAAAATATAAAGTGTGTTCTTTATAGCGCTTTAATCGAACTAGTTTTGCATATTCATAACTTTGTTCATTAGTAGAGCCAGCAGAAGTTATACATTGATTGCACACAGTGCTAATCTTGGAAATACTATATAAAATATATCCGGCTATATAATATAACACATTTAGTTCAGTGTCATCATCAAGATTTAATAACGGTATATTTAATTCGGGAAATGTTTGCAATGGTAGTTTAGTAACAACTGGTTTATGTATATTTAAAAAGCTCCTAAGAAACTCGCGATCATCCTCCTCATAGCTACTATTAGATACAGTTTTCATATATTGAGATACAGTTATTTCTTTTAAACAGTGTTTAAACTGGAGAGCATTAGGGACTGGCTGTTTTGCTCGAATCAAAGAAAATAAGTTTTCTACACAATCTTGTGTTAACCTGCCTGCTAAGACGAACAAGTAATTCTTTTCCTTCAATAAATATAATCAGTTATTTCAATCACAGATTTTGTAGTTATTAGTACTCCAGTTTGCACAGGTTTAAATTCATATATTAAATTGTCATTATTGTTAATTCTCATTTGAAAAGTATTAGAAATCCTTTGTTTTGTATTTCGGCTTTTTCCAAGACCAATTTTAATATTTTCAAAGAGTTTCATTACGCTATGTAAAAATTGTACTGCTTTAATATATGCGTTGTGACTTTTTTCAGTTCCATTATCTCCAAGCGCTACTTGAGGATTTCGTGAGGTTATTAAAGAAAACCATTTCGAAACCACCTCTATGAACCATGTTGTTGTTATATACTCTTTCTTATCTTTCTGATCAGCTATAAACTTTAATGATGAACTAATTTCTGTACTAAGAATCTGTTTCGCTTTGTTCACCTTCAAAACGATTATTTCTCAAATCATCCTTCTTAATTTTCCGAGACAGTTTAAATGTGAGATTTTCTTGAATTTCAAGAAGCTCCTTGAGATGGTCAACTTTTACATATGAAAAATTAATATTATTATCATGCATAACATTTTCGGGTATTATGAAAAGCTTATTGTTATCTAAGCACGTTTTAAGATTTTTTAAAAGATGAGGGCCGTCAGCCAAAAAAAAATAATCTTCTGTTATTGTTAATTGGATACGGGATAGAATTTTCTATTGCAGATCCTCTAGAAACACCAATACCAAATGCTCGCCACATAGCTCGGTTAATTGATCCCATATCCAATGTTATGCTATGGACATATAAACCAATTGCCTCTATTTTTTTAATAAGTTCCAAAATAATAGGTTTTAATTGGGATCCATTATAGCCATTAGGGGTAAAATAAAATGCAACGACCTGTTTCCATCTTGCACGAATTCCACATAACATGATTACTAATGCATGCGAAGCTTTTTCTAAAATTAGAATAGATGATAGAAATTAGGATAGATGATTATTGATTAATCACTTAAAATATGCTTAAACCATTTTTATTAAAATAAGTAATTATAAGGTTCCATATGTATAAAATGATATAACAATTAAAAAGGGCCAATATTCAATACAAATTCAATGAAATTGTTATATCGTTTTTACTAATTTCTCGCCAATTTCTTTAATTCTTACCAATTTCTCCTTTGCTATTCAAAAATGAACTGCGTCCATACAATGATCGAGTTGATGGATCAAATTGAGTTCCACTTTTAATACTCATTTTATCTAGTGTAATCATAGCATCTTTATCTCTGTCATTTTCAAAACTATTTACTTTTTCCTTTAAGATATTTAAAATTTCTTCGCAAATCCCTTGTTCAAAATGAAGTGTTTCTAGTTTTTCTTGTAAAGTACGCAATGATGGCAAAGGAATATATTGTTTCAAAAGTTCTTTGTATCCACTTGCTCCGCAAGCAATTCTCAGTCGAATTGCTTTTATAAGTGTTTCTACAGACCACTTTGAACTACGTGTTGTTTTCTTCGCTAATGCCTTTATTTGATCATTAGTGAATACTTTTTTAATTATGGAGTACAATTTTGTGTTTACACATAATTGCTTATGCTGATATCGTTTTTCTGTATTTAGTCTTTTCAAATGCGTATTCAACCTATTACATTTTCTTAGAAGAGCATCATACTTATTTTGACGTTTTCGAAATAAATCCTTGAGCTCTTCATATTTTTTCTTCCAATCTATTTTATCATCACGATTAGATGAAGATAAATTCGGTTTATTTTCAGTAATCGCAACTACGAAAGATTTAATGGGTTCTTCTTGATCTTGAGCGATAATATCATTACTGGCGAGATTTGGGTTCTCGTCCATCTCGACAGTTTGCACTGATTGTATTAATTCAGTATTTTGTCCGGATGCAACAATTGTTTCAAGACATGACTCAAACATATTTGGAATTGCATTACATTTCAGGATTCTTTTACCATCACTTTGTGGTTTTTCCCACATTTCCGGTGAAAAATGAATCTGAAATATAAAAAATAATATTCATTCATATTATATAAGATATTCAGTATAAGCTGATATTTAGAAGAGTAGTTTAAAGTATCTTTAGATACTATACAGTTCCTTTCATTGACTGCAAAGAATCTGAAGATAGTTTAATCTGAATTTCAAATAGTCTAATCTGAATAAATATAAGATTTGACTATGAATAGTGGCCTATAGGAAATTGGCTGTTAAGTAAATGTAAATATCATACCTCACAAATACAGCTACAATCCGTGGGTACCCAATTCGCTCGTGGAATAATCGCTGCCCATTGAGCCCTTCTGTCTGGATTTCTTGGGAAATGTTTCATCATAAATCCTTTAGCAGCCGAATTTTTACATTTTGGCACACAGCAGCCTGGCATTGTTATCTAGATATTACCTATAACTATAATTGTTTACTTATGCGTTATAAAGTCATGTACATTATAGGTTAGGAATATGCCACGTTACAATATTTTCAATTACCACATCAATTTTACAACTTATATAACATAATATTTTATAATAATATTGAATCATTATTATCTAAATTTAGTAATTTGTACTTACAACATGTACAAGTATCACATATATCACATATGGCGGTCACTGGTCCGCCATATTCTTGCAAATGCTCGGAGTTCGCGCATCTCTTACTTGAGGATCTCTAGTAAATACACAACCCCTCTCTTTCTCTCCTTCGACGACGCGACGCGTGACGCGCTCAGTGGAAACATACCATAACGCGTTGCGTTGTCCATCGCGTCACGACGCGATGCGAAAAAGAGAAAGAAAGGGGTTGTGTATTTATATAATCTTATCTCTTTCTCTCTTTCATGACGCGACGCGTGACGCGCTCAGTGGAAACTCAGCCTTATGCAAGAATGTGTGCTGCGGCCTTTAAACTTTATGGCCATTCTACAATAAGTCATTAATCGTAAATCAGAAGTTAGAAGCTAGAACCTGATAAATTACAGTCGTCAATTTTTAACGTCCGACATCAGATTTATGACTAATTGCTTATTGTAGAATGGCCATTAAAGCAAATGTTGAAAGTGGCCTATCTGTATCATAGTACAATCACTGTTTTAGAATTGAATTTTCTGCTTTTCATTATATTGTAACGGAAAACTGATAATCAAATTAAACGATTTGTTCATCTGCAAGCAACGCATACTAATTTATTTTTTTCTCGTAAACGGATTATTTTATCAAAAATGTTAAAAAGAGATATTTTCTACGGATTTACTCCATTTATCATAAAAATTCCAAACAAAAACAAATATAAAACGTAACAATTTTTTTTTTCGAAAAAAGGGGTGCTTTGTTTCTGCTTTTGAGAAAACCATTTGAAATCATGTGTAGAATGGCAATTTTCAGAACGATGGTACTAAAATTTTTGCTGAAACGGTAGTTTTTAGATCTATATACAGTAACGGAAAGGCACTTTTCGGATAAATGGTATAAAGCTGATTCTATAATGTGCTTTTTGATTCCCGTTTCTTGCTGTTTGTCTCTTGCCTTTTTGATCAAGAAGATAAGAGACAAATAGCAAAAAAACAGGAAATAAAAAGCACATTGTATAGAATTAACCTAAAAGTTTTACTGAAACGGTAGATTTCAGGTTTATAATAGAAACGGATTGACATATGAGATTGTTTGGTTTTCGAAAAATAGAACAATAATTGATATGTTTTCGAATAATCAATTTGATAAGGATCAACTTAAAAGACAAAAAATTTTTGTAATACTTTAAAATAAAGCCTTGATCATAAGGACACTTTTTGTTCGCTTAAAGGACTAATTTTATTCCGCAGATTGTCATATACATCTTAAATCGTCGATTATGTTGAACGGTTAATGAAGCACGATGATAATTTAATCTAGATCATGAAATTTAATAAGAGCTTCATAACGTATTTGAATCACGTCTGAAAAGCCGTAGGTATTATAATTGTTGTAAAACCATGGTTCTTTGAATATGTGTAGCAACGGAATGGCGGTTTTCAGACCAATGGTATTAAAATTTTTACTAATACTTTTCGGGTCTATATGCAGCAACGGAATGGCAGTTTTCAGATCAATAATATAGCATTTTTACTGAAATGGTAGATTTCAGGTCTATATTTCACAACAGATTGGCAGTTTTCAGATCAATAACATAACATTTTTACTGGAATGGTAGATTTCAGGTATATTTTTAGCAACAGATTGGCTGCTTTTATGTACTGATCTTGATCGTTATGAAATGTTCTCTTAAAAGTTGTAAACTTAATTTTAATTTTCCCTTAATCTTGTATTTCCATGTTTTCAAATCGTAATTATTGGAACGGAAGGTAATTTTCTATTGAGATATATGAAAACCTATGGGACCTGAAAACTACCCCTGTATATAATTTAATTTTAATGAAATGGTACATTTCAGATCTTTAATTTGTATATACAAAACTTCATCGTGCTTCTATTTAAAACTGCATTTTAGTAATATATACACTAGCAAACACCATATTCTTTCATGTACGATTATAAAAATTTAGTATAATAAATTGTTCTTTTTTTTTATTGTAAAAAAGGAAAAGAGTCTGATAACTGCCTATTGGTTAAGATATTATTATATTAATTAGTAGGTTTAAGAACTTGTTGCAAAAAGTGTATATAATTTGTAGGTTTCTTCTTTTTAGAGCCCAAAATTGATACAAGAAATCATTAGTATATGTTAAATGTATAGAATAAAAATATTAAATAATAAAATACTGGTCGCTGAAAAAATTCCATTGACCTGAAAACTGCCGTTGTAAGTAAATTTTAATATATCTCCAAGGTTACTGATTTTTTTGCACAAAATAGTTTTCCAAACATAATTTGCGGTATTATTAATCATGAAAATCGTATTTTTAGAAAGCGTCCCGAAAACTGCCCTTCTACATACATATAGACGTACATACGTTTATACGTACATACAGTTATACATACGTTCATACATACGTTTATACATACGTTTCTACGTACATACGTTTATACATACGTTCATACATGCGTTTATACATACGTTTATACATACGTTTATATATACGTTTATATGTTCATACGTTCATACGTGTATTGCATAGGAAGGGAAGGGAAGGGAAAAGAAATTTAAAACGTATTACAAAAAAATCTCATATTTTATTTTAAAACTTGATACATTTTTTTACCGTTGCGACCACCAGTTGTATATTTTAAATACAAGTAGTAATGCTATGAGAGTTCTAACTCGGGAACTCCAAGGGGAATGCGGGGCGCGGGGGATTCTTCGGTGGCGGGGTATGACGTCATGCAATAAGGCATTCCAGATTTGGGGGGCTATAGTCACGTACAGGACAACAAAAATATCACAAAAAAGGGAAATATTGCCATGAACAAAAACAATACAAAAAAAATAGATAATTATAAAACAAAAAGTTTTGCAAAACGTATTCGCCGGTATATGCTCCAACGGTTTTTCGATCAAGATATAGCGTAATGTAATTTTTCTAAGATACAACGTTTATTAATTATTTTAAATACCTAAATACGATCAAGTTTCATAATTAATCGATTGAGCGCCAACATCTGGCTGCTATCGAAATCGATGATATTGAAACGTAATGTCTTCCTTGATAAAAGAGCCTCGATCGTTTATTCTTTTTT